GTATTGCTCCGTTTCTAGCTAAGCTATTCAATATATCCTTACAAATGGGGGAATTTCCAAAAATGTGGAAGAGCGCCATTGTTAAGCCTTTGCCAAAGAAAAATAAAATAGAAAATTTTTCTGAACTAAGGCCAATCTGTCTCTTACCAATATTTGCCAAAATGTTCGAAGTACTAGTGTCTGATATGCTGCTTGAATTTGTAAATACCAATAATATTATACCAGCTGTGCAGTCTGGCTTTAGGAAAAATCATGGAACTGCTACCGCCCTTACAAAAGTGTCTTCTGAAGTATCAACTAATATTGACTCATCAAGGGTTTCTTGTCTAGCACTGCTAGACTATAGTAAGGCTTTCGATCTTATACATCACGACATGCTTGTGGCTAAAATGAGGTTCTATGGTTTTTCAGAGGCTGTCTGCAAATGGTTCAAGAACTACCTTCTACTTAGAACACAGGTGGTTGAGCTTGATGGAGCAAGATCTGAGCCTGTTACAACTGGTTATGGAGTCCCTCAGGGAAGTGTACTTGGGCCATTATTATTTAGCATTTATACTAGCGATCTTCCAAAGCAGGTTCGGTTTTGCTCCATCAATCTCTATGCCGATGACACGCAGCTCCTGTTAGGTTTTGCTCCTCAGGATGCCTGTGTGTGTATGCAGAGAATAAATGACGACTTAGACTCGATATTTATATGGTCCAGTCAACATGGGTTGGTTCTAAATGCTAGTAAGAGCACATATATGATTATGGGCTCTAATGCCGGCAGAAGTCAATTTTTGCGTTTTAATTTCACTACATTGCACATAAACGGTACTACTCTACCTAACTCAGAATCAGCAAGAAATCTGGGTGTGACTTTCGACGAAAGTCTTAACTTTCAGGTGCACGTCAACAGAAAATTGTCATGTGTTTATGCTGTACTTAAGAGTTTGTACCCGTTTAAGGATAATTTACCTCGCAACATTAAATTGATGTTAGTGGAGACTCTTATTTGGTCACAGTTGGACTATTGCAATGTTGTCTTCTATAACTACCTGAATGTTGAATTTAAAAACAAAATTCAGTTAGCTCAAAATGCTTGTATGAGATTTATGTTTAGCATTAGAAAATTTGACCATATTACGCCAACCTATGTAGAAAATAAGATACTAAAATATGAACAGCGAGCAGCCTTGCACTTTGGTCAATTCGTTTATAAAATTTTTCAATCTGGTTACCCATCCTATCTCTCAGAATATCTTATAGTAAGACAAGACCTACACAGTCGCTGTCTGAGAAACATTATACGATTTCAAATACCACGGCACATAACCGAAGGTTTTAAAAACTAATTTTCTTACCGAGCGGTACAACTACTTAATACAGAGGTGTATGAATTTATGATTTCAGGTTCACTGGTAAACTTTAAAAAGAAGTACAAGGCTTCTCTGCTGGAATTAATAGCGTAGCTTAGAATAGGCATTGAATTCTGTATTTATTTATTTATTTATTTTTTCGGGTAGCATGGAAGAACACATTACGTGAATGTTACCTTTTATGTAATTTCTTTTGATGCATAATAAACGTTATTATTATTATTATTATTATTATATAATAAATATATTGAATATCGATAATTAACAAGTTCTTTTATTTCTTAGTCCATTTCCCAACAGGTTATGGGACCAGTGTACGTGTATTCATTGCGGTTGTGAAAACCGGGAGTGTTTAATCTGATAGTGACAATGGAAAATTTGAAACCAAAAAGAAACAAAAAGGCTTCATGCTAACAGAGCTTGAACTTAGATAAGAACACCAGAACTCAGCAATTTAGAAATAATTATCGTTGAGGACATTTTAAAACCGATTTTAAAAGACGCAATTTCAAAAAAAAAAAAAAACAAGTCTCTGAAACACAATGAAAAAAGTTAAACAAAACAATTCCATCAATTAAAAAAAAAAAAATGGAACTCTTATAACAGCAACCAAAAAGGGCACAATTAGTATTCCCAGTAATATGGGCATACAGGAAAGGTATAGGCTGGACTGTCCAGAGGTTCCTTACAATTTGCTGACCCCTCCAAAACTTTAAAAGAATTTGAAACACCATACGAAATGTGGCGTAGTAAAAAGCCTCAAGTAAAATATTCATAAGTGTTTGGTTACATAATACCGTTTATAAGTACATAAAAACCAGGAAAACAAAATTTGATATCAAATCCTGGAAAGCTATACTGGTTGGTTATGAACCAAATGAATACGAAGTGTGGGATGTAGATAATCATAAGTTTGTCCTAGTTAGGGATATTATTGTGGACATAACAAATTGATTTTTGTCCTCCAAGCCTATTAATCTGCATAAAGCTGATTCCTCTATTTGTCAAGAACAGTAGTTAATCATAAACTTCAAAAAGTAAATGCAGAACACTTATGGTCATGAGGCTGATTCCTCTGACTATTTGTCGAGATCAGTAATTACTAACAAGCTTGAAAAAGTGAATAGAACACTTTATTTGTAAAAGCTGATTTCTCTGACTATTTGTCAATATAAGTAGTAACTAATAAGCTTGAAAAGTAAATGTTTAACTTTTATGGTCATAGAGCCAATTTTTCTGACTGTTTGTCAATATCAGTCGTTAGTTAATGATGTTTGAAAAAGTGAATGCATAACACTTTGGTGATGAGACTGATTCCTTTGACAGTTTGCCAAGATTGCTGGTTAATAAATCTGATAAAGCAAAATCAGATGACCAACCAATTCAAGAAAGTAGCTAACTGTTAACCCACAAACTTATCAAACTATATAATGAATGATTATAGTAAATCTGTGGTTAAAACAGATCTGCCAAATGCAAATGATATTCATTCAGTTTCCACTATAATCACGATTCTCAAAGTAGTTAAATTAAAATCCTCCATTGAATTGCATCCAATAAATTTGTTTTGCACTATTGACAAAATTTTGGAGAAAATGGTGTATATGCAACTTATTGAGTTTATAGGTAGATAGAAATAAACTATTCAGTGATTTTCAATCAGGGTTTCGAGTAAGTCAATATTAGTAGTTGATAGTGATTATGAAAAAGTGAATGTGAAACACTTTGATGATAAAGCTGTTTCCTCTGATTGTTTGTCAAGATCAGTAGTTATTAATGAACTGAACTAAACTGGAAAAGTGTCAAAAATTCATGTAACACTTTGGTAATTAGCCTATCCAAAACACGTGACTTTGACAAGCAAACAAAGGGTGTGCCTCTTGGGCCCATAAGTGCCGCAATAATCCACTTATCAGTAAGTCAGAATTTGTGAGATTATCCACTTTTTGTCAATTCGCCTTTCAACAGGAATTATTAATGTTACTTGACCAACTAGTAACATAATGTGACAAGTTATTGAAGTACAAACGAGTGGATTACTGCGGGACTTATGGGTGGACCCAGCCATCTATTTACCAATGTTGTTCAAGTACAATACTAACCTGATTTTCTCAGTTGTGAATTTTTCTCATTAGTTCAAAAACTACACATTTCAGGTGAGTGTCTTATTTGAACAGTTCAATAGTATATTCGTGAGTAGATGGCTGCGGAACTCGCTGCGCTCATCCGCAGAGGTCCACCCATAAGTTTCGCAATAATCCACTTATTTGTACAGGGTGTTTTTTTTATATTGACACCCCACCTACAGTCTTTGCTTTTAAAAGTATAAGAAAGGTGTAAATACAAGAGTTGTACAGTTTCGGCTGAATTTTTAAAAACCATGGTCAGAAAGAAAATTTGAATGTCAGAAATGTGAAATTTTGCATGCTTCCAGCTTTTTTTAAAATGGGATGCCCTATATTTCATTCTATATTCTTGAAGAGCACAATTCCTCGATCTTTATTTGATTAAGCAATCTCTCATATATTTACCGTGCGTTCGTTATTTTGGTCTGAGTTCTCCGAGCTTGACTTTACCGTTTGTTTATTTAAAAAGTGTACTCGGTGCAGCCTCATTCGCGTTCGTTTATTAAAATTTCCGGTACTCTTATACAGCGTTCAACTGCTCCGTTCGCTCGCTGGTCACGTGATTACGGCTCCGCTCAGCTCGCTCTACACTTTGAGCAAAATACCGAACGTAAGGTTAGCTCCAAAAATTTTGAAAATACTATTCTACTCTTAGATCCTACTACTGATTTTATGAACCATTTTACCTGTACCAGGTGAAAAACTGCAGGTAAAATTTAAGGTACTTGGTTTCTCTGATAGTATTTTTAAAATTTTTAGAACCAAATATGTTAGAGACGACTCAACCAAATATAGACAAACTATATAGTTTTGGAATCGGAAAATTGTGCTTTTCAAAAATATAGAACCAAATATAGCGCATCTCATTTGAAAAAAGCTGGAAGCATGCAATATTTCACATTTCTGACACACAATTTTTATTTCTGGCCATGGATTCGGAAAATTTAGCCAATACTGTACAACTTTTGTATTTACACCTTTTATCTACCTGTAAAGGTAAAGGCAGTAGGTGGGGTGTCAATATATAAAAAAACACCCTGTATTCTTTGGATTTTTATTTCAAAATTTTTAAGCTTCAATATCTTGAAATCCATAAGGGATATTGAATCAAAATTTTCAACAATTGCAACTCTCATTAAACTTTATTAGGTTTATTGTTTATGAGAAAATTGAGTTTGAAATTTATGACTAAATTTCGACCAAAATTCAACTTTGAGGCTCAATTACTCAAAAAGTATTTGAGCTATCTCAATTTAGCACCTACTTATAGAGAATTTAATGCTCTTTCTGATAGTGTATAATTTATTTTGATTTGTTCAAATTTTAATGAAAATATTAGCCATTTTTTTGAAAAAATTCAGAGCCAAAAAATTAAGTTTTCTTCTTGATTTTTTCTCGAATTAAATTGGTCATTTAGAAATGATGTTTAATTATTTTTCGACTAATTTAGACCCGCTCTATCCATTGAAAAAGTCAAAATTTAGAAATATGAAAGTTAAAAATTCAAAGTTCTTACCTCCAAATAACAATAAAGGCACGAAACAAAGCACTCCTAGCTTCGTCAATTTATTTCCAGACATTTTGCTCAATAAATAAGTGTCACATAACATCACCTTACTAGCTGCCCTATGAATTTGAGAAAAGAGCCCCGTTTGAGCCCGATAAACAAAACTGAACATTGTTAAAATGGACACAATAGTTGTGCTTACTTTTTGCTTAAATACACTCCATCTTGTATGAGTACTTGTATATGTCCTCCTTGGAAAAAAAAACAAGATTTAATAATAATTATTTATAACAATATAAACATTTTACCTTTTAATAAAATAGTCTTCATTTTTCGAATCTTGAGATCTATATCCAATATTACTAGTAGTGTAATCTGTATTTGTATTTTTATGAGACACATTATAATTGTCTAATGAGTGAATTGTTCTTCGAGACATGTTGGGCATAGCCACAACTCCTGGAGCTATTTCAACGCGGTCTTTTGAATGATGTGAATAAGTCCAATCCGTTTTAGGATATTTTCTACAATAATATAAAGAATGTTAGATTGACAAAAAAATAATTGTTTATAAATACTCACTCCCAATATCGTCCGCTTTTTTTGTACAAATCCAAGGCGGGCGTGCCACTGCCGTTAACCAAACCTCGGGCGTCTTCTAGCAATTGGTTGCGTTCGTTTTGGTGTATTGTTTTGCTAGAGCTGACTTCGGCCTCGCCATCTTCTGATGAATAATCTGAGGTTTTGATAAGGCGGTTTCGTAATGATTTTCTGAGGCCTTCGGATTTTTGCTGCTGGACGGAATTGGAATTAGTTTTCTGCGTGTTGATTTCGTCTGTTGAACTCGAGGCACTTTCATTGGATCTACAATTTATTGATGATGGTAAGTAATTGATTTTGTTTATTAAAAACTTACAAGGCTAAAGGGAAATATTTATTTGTAAGGAATTTTGAATGTTTACATAAAATAGGATTTTTTTTCTTGAATCTCAATCTTTTTTCTCTCCATATGCAAAATTTCCATCCAATCTTTCAACTATTTTCCTGAGAGAAAAAATGAAACGTTCCTCAATATCTTTTTATGGAAATTTGATTTTTCTAAAATGACATTGTGACATATTTTGCTTTACAACTTTGTTAATTTCAATCCGATTTTAATGTAGTTAGGCCCAAATTGAAGCCAATTAAATTCCCTACAAAGTCTGATGAATAATTTCAATGCTCAGCACCAATTTAGGATTTTCTAAAATAAGACTCATGTTGATTATTAAGATTTCTTTATGTCATTATTTTTACCTGAAAAAATTAGAAATTAAGAGAAGATGAGCTCTAGTTCTACTCTTTACATGCAAAAAATTTCAAAATTTTCCCACTTTTGTTTTCCAGAAAAACTTTAAAATGTGAGAGACTGTATTTTCAATTAATTCAGTTCTCGTAAGTTGATTTTAGAGATTTTTTATGTTGTTATTTTCTACTGGAAAAATTATGAGAAAATGACCTTCTATCTTTCCTTTTTACATATAGAAAGTTTCAAAATTTTCCCTTTATTAGTTTTCCAGAAAAAATTTTGAAATGTGAGAGTCTGTATTTTCAATTAATTCAGCTTTTGTAAGTTGATTTTGAGGATTCTTCATGTTGTTATTTTCCACTGGAAAAATTTGAAATTTTAGGAAAATGAGCTCTCAAATTTCCTTTTTACATGCAAAAAGTTTCAAAATTTTCTCTTCATTAGTTTTCCAGAAACATTTTGGAATATCAGAGTCTGTATTTTCAATTAATTCAGCTTTTGTATGTTGATTTTGAAGATTCCTTACGTTGTTATTTTCCACTTGAAAAATTTGAAATTTTAGGAAAATAAGCTCTCAAATTTCCTTTTTACATGCAAAAAGTTTCGAAATTTTCTCTTCATTAGTTTTCCAGAAACAGTTTGAAGTGTGAGAGTCTGTATTTTCAATTAATTCAGTTTTTGTTGATTTTGAAGATTCTTCATGTTGTTATTTTCAACTGGAAAAGTTTAAAATTTTGAGAAAATGAGCTCCTAACTTTCCTTCTTACATGCACAACGTTTCAAAATTTTTTCTTCATTAGTTTTCCAGAAACACTTTGAAGTGTGAGAGACTGTATTTTCAATTAATTAAGGTTTTGTAAGTTGATTTCCAATATTCCTCATATTGTTATTTTCTACTGGAAAAGTTTGAAATTTTGAGAAAATGAGCTTTTAACCTTTCTTTTTACATGCAAAAAGTTTCAAATTTTCCCTTCACTAGTTTTCTAGGAAAACTCTAAAATATGTGAGACTGTATTTTCAATTAATTCAGTTATTGTAGGTTGATTTCCAATATTCCTCATGTTGTTATTTTCCATTAGAAAAATTGGAAATTTTGGAAAAATGAGCTTCTCACCTTTCTCTTTACATGCAAAAAGTTTTAAAATGTTCCCCTCACTAGTTTTCCAGGAAAACTTTGAAATGTGTGAGACTGTATTTTTATATAATTCATTTATTGGAGCTTGATTTCCAAGATTCCTCATGTTATTATTTTCCATTGGAAAAATTTGAAATTTTAGGAAAATGAGCTCTAAAATTTCCTTTTTACATGCAAAAAGTTTCAAAATTTTCACTTCATTAGTTTTCCAGAAAAACTTTGAAATTTGAGAGACTATACTTTATTTTAATCTAGTTTTTGTAAGTTCATTATCAGGGTTTCTTTATGTTTCTCAGAAAAAATTTGAATTTTAGGGAAAATGAGTTCCTCCTTCAATACAAAACGTTTCGGAAGTTTCCTTTTATTAGTTTTTGTGATAAGAAACAATGTTTTAGAAATAAACCCTCACTATTTTCCTTACAAATTAACTTTATCTAGAAATATAGATTTTAAGAAAAATTTGGCAACATGAAGATCCACATTTAAATTCATTGTACTAATAGCGATTTCCATTTGTCGAACGAGCGCAAAAAAAAATTAAATATCCATATCTACCTACATGCTTAAACTTAGAAAAAAATGGGGATACACTCAGTACGCACTGATTGACAAATGGAAATTGCCATAAGTAACCAGGGCTGGAACTCTGTAAAGGATAGAGATCGTTATCCCTATCGCTATTACACTTGCTGTCTTTTTCTCTCTTGTCGAAATCGATACAGAGGAGACATCAATAGAGATAGAGAAAATATCTCTATTCGTTACAGAGTCCCAGCCCAGAGTGCATTGATTATACATATCTTTTATTATTTTATAGTCTAGTAAAGGAAACAGATAGTTTCTGATACAGAGCCTTAATAAACCACAGTGGCCATCCTATTTTTGATTGGTTCTGTTGAATCCTGTATCAATTCATATTGAAAACGAGCAAGAATATGGTAAATGGGGTTTGACTTATTTCCTATTAATTAACGAGAATAAAGCCGGACATCTTTTGTCGGAAAACGGATGCATGAGACTCCGGCCACAGAATATATGGGTACCTATACAGGGTGTTAATAAATAGTGGGATCAAACTTTTAGGATAAATAGTACTCATTGAAATAAGAAAAAAGTTAATAGAAACATGGGTCCGCGAATGCTTAGTTTTCGAGATACAGGGTGTCAAATTTTTAAAAAAAAATCGGTTTTTCATCTCAAAAATCCCGATTCCATTTTTTTTTTTTTTTTCAAATTTGGCAGGTTTGTTTGTGATAACAAAACGTATCTTTTGACGGTAAATGACTTGCTCAATCTGAAAAAAAAAATATCAGTTATACAAAAATAGTGACGTGCCATTTTTTTCCTACTTTTACCAACGTAGTTGCCCTCTGGGGCGCCACTGGAATAATTACGAGAAATCTAATTGAGTCAAAAGACACTTTTTGTTATAACAAACAAATCTGCAAAATTTCAAGAAGTTCGGAACACGAATTCTGAAAAACCGATTTTTTTCAAGCTTTGACACCCTGTATCTCGAAAACTAAGCATTTGCGGACCTATGTTTCTATCACCTTTTTTATTAGTTTAATGAGTACTATTTATCCTAGAAGTTTGATCCCACTATTTATTAACACCCTGTATACTCTGTGCTCCAGCCTAAGGTGGCAAGACTTTATTTATTGTGGCCATTGAAAAGGTTTATTCAGTCACTGTAGTTTCTAGGTAAAAAGCTATGAATATCTTTGTCCTTGTTAATGAAAGACAAGATAGAATATAGCCTGACGTTATTTGAATGTTTTCCTAAACTGAATGAAAAGATGTCGTCGTAGGTACCAAGTTTCTGGTTTCTAGTACAAATCCAAACTTTGACAATACCAATGGTTTTCTGGTAATGGTAAACAGATGACGTCATCTGGGGTGCCTAATGTAGATTTTGCATTATATTCAGGCACCCCAGATTATGTCATAAAAGTTATCAGGCAACCTAACAACTTTTGTACAATACCAAAGCTCCTAAAGTTAATAGGTTTTCTGATAATCGGTAACTTGATGACATTATCTGATGTGCCTTATGGAGATTTTTATTATGTTGAGGCACCCCAGAGAGATGACGTCATAAGAATTATCAGGCATCCTACCTGTCTCAAACAACCTTGGTACAGTGCAAATACTATTTTAATTCGACAAAAAAAGGCGATTTCAGCAAGTTTTGGTTGGTATACCATTTGGTTAACCAATTGGTACCTGCAACGTCATAGAAATGACGTAAGACACCATTTCATTCCGAATTCGTTTGGTACTTGTTTGGTTTGGTAGGTCATGAGAGAGGGGAAGAGACGATCCGTAACCTAACTTTTTGTTATTCTTCTAGTTTTGGGAGTGACTAGGTACTGACTAGAGATTAAAGTGTGGTAACGTTACCGCGGTAACGGTAATTTTGGTAGTTTAACCCGACAAATTTCTTTACCGATAATTTTCAGAAAGGCTTCCTGAATGAAATCACATTTAGGCGCAATCCTTTTCATGCATTATTCGCCATCTAGTTGTGAATCTGTATAACGCGCATTGCGCCGGGTTGGCATGAACAAAACTTTACCTTACAAGTGTGGAAAGTGGTTCTTTTCCGCCCGCGACGGCAGTTGGCAAGATGTCAAGGGTGGAAAAGATATTTTCCACAAGAGTTAGGTGTAATGTTTTTCCACAAGTGTTTTTGTCCATCTCATTAGGAAATTAGGAGAATTTAGTTCTGTTTTATTTTTGTTTGATTTTCTTTGCTCGTTTTTTGTTCTAGGAATTAGGTATTATTACGAGTATTATTATTTGTTTATTGCAATATTTCTATGAGCTTAGATTTTACAACAAACACTATTATGATAAATGGTTGTTTAGGTAAAAAATCCTGAAAGTATATAATCTTTGAACGTAGGTATATGTAGTATATGGTCATAATTGTTTGTTTTATGAAATATTTCCAAAATTACCAAAATTACCGAAAAATTACCGGTAAATTACCACTGAGAAAGAACAAATGAAAATTACCGGTAAACTTCAATCTCTAGTACTGACTGCACTGACTAAAATCTATACCTAATCACTAATCACTGCAGTGGCGTAACTACAGGGGGGCCTGGGGAGACGTCGCTAGGCCCCCCCCAGAAAAAACTTTAATAATTTGGTATTTTATGAAAGCTACGTTACCTATTATAATTGTATATTATTACCTACTAAATTTGAACGGTAATGCGCGGCGATCTCGATCGACCCTATCCGATCCCTCTACGAACGGGCTGCGTGCCATTGTGCCACCCAAAGGTCAGTGCAAATTGCAAATTGCAATGTGCAGAAGTAATACAGTATACCAAAGCCATTAAATTAGAATTAGCAATGTAAAAGATTAGTTTGGGAGTTTGACTAAATATTTTTCCTGTGAATCCGTGAATCGGTGTTACTGATATATAC